TATAGGGTGAGGTTCAATAGAGAACCATAATTAACCAATGAACCAAAGAACCAATCGTGAGTGTCGGAAATCATAACGATCAACGGCCAAAGAAATAGATGTACACTTTTAAATTGGACGCACACACACCGGATTATACCAAAAAATCCACCCTTTACAAAAAAAACTCACCACTTTTTTTTGTTTAAAATTTTTTTAGGCCATGGTTTTTTTCGAAAAAAAAAAACCGAATATACCGTTGTTCACGATTTTCTGTCCTCTTTCCATAGAGATCCATGATGATATATAAAAAACGAACTTTTTTTTTTCGAAAAAAACTCAGTTCATTTTCTTTGATAAAAAAAGTTAAGGTCTATTTTTTTATAGAAAAAAAATTAATAAATATATCAAAATTCATATTTTTTGTACTTTTTAAACATAGATTCATATTCATGTTAAAAAAAACGATATTCCAGTTCAGATTCACATTGTGAACCTGTTCAGATTTATATTGTAAACCTATTCAGATTCACATTGTGAACCTCCTCAGATTCACAGTGTGCACAATAATAAGTCAGATTCACAGTGTGAATCTGAACTGATCGGAGTTTTTTTACATTGTGAATGTTAAAATTTGAAATATTTACAGTTTAGATTCACAGTGTGAATCTACACTGATCGAGGTTTTTTTTGTGAACCTTCTCAGATTCACAGTGTGCATAATAGTAATTCAGATTCACAATTTGAATATGAACTCTTCGAGATTTTTCATATTGTGAATGTTAAAAATTGAAATATTTACAGTTTAGATTCACAGTGTGAATCTACACTGTTCAAGTTTTTTTTTTCTTTTTTTTTAATCGGTGTTGATGTTTATTAATAGAGTACAAAAAATTAATATTTTTGGTATAATTAGTTTTTTTTTATAAAAATAAACTTAAATATTGAAAAAACTAAGAAAATTAAGTGAGTTTTTTTTGAAAAAAAAAGTTTGTTTTTTATATATCATCATTGATCTTTATAGAAAGAGGACGAAAAATCGTGAACAACTATATATTCGGTTTTTCTTTTCGATAAAAAACTTGGCCTAAAAAACAATTTTAAATGAAAAAAAGGAAGTGAGTTTTGTTATAATCCGGTACATGTGCGTCCATTATAAAAGTTTACGACCTTTCCTTTTGCCGTTGATAGTTTTAAATTTCCACACTTTGAATTGGTTCGTTGGTGCCTTGATTAATAATATTCCACCTCTCCTCCCCCAACACACACCATTAAAGTCGATCCTTCATCTTCTTTCATCATCAAATCCACCAATCGAAATCTTCCTAATATGTTCAAAACACTCAATACTTCCTGTAATCTCCAAATTATAAAGATGATGTCGATGATTTCGAAGAAGACCCAGATGCGCAAGATCCGGTGTTGCTTGACAGGAATGAGAAAGGAGAGAGAACGAAAGTCAAAAATAAAGAAGGAGGTGTCTCTGATCTACCAACCCACCCCACCATCGACATCTCGCCCATCACCATCAGCACCTCACTCATCAATCATCACTATCTACTCCTTCCATGGGAAAACGAAGGTGTTTGGCTCGCCATTACTATGTGTTTGTGTATGCGACAGAGGGAGGGATGGGAGAAATTGTTGATGGAGAGGGGCGCTCTGTTATGGGTGATCGATTTTGAAGGTGTTGAGTCCTTCTCTCTTAAAGTACATTCTTTCTTGTTCTTTTTTGCAGGAGTGGCTTCACAACCTTCAAAGATTCATACTTTAAGATTCAGGTGTAGAAAAGAACCTGAAATCATTCGTCAAAAGTGCAGAGAATAACAAACCTCCCAGCCATTTTAATAGAGCAGAAATCGAACATCGTATAAGATCTTTACAGGTTCGTCAACTGCAATAGTTTAGAGATAAAAACACTAACTTGCTTCTTTACATAAATTTTGTTGCTTTGATTCAATTTATGTTTTTGCTGAACAAATTAGCTTGTTGTAATCCATATTTGATGGTTCCAAAGTAATTGATTTGTCTTTAAAGATGTGTGCTCGGTGTGGACGACTTCCTGTTTTTGGCTGTAACTTAGAGAACTTTTTGCTTTATCCATCAAATGCAGATTTGTTGTGATTTGATCTCGTTGACTATTATATATCATATAGATTGCAATGATTTTTTCTTCTTAATATTTTTTGGGGTAATTTATTCATGCATGTCCACATCTAGATATATCAATTTTCTCAAGAACAAGTAAACTACTTAGCTAATACAAAGTTTTTATTTCATAAAGTTTCAGTTTGTAACTGATCCTTTCATTAATAAATTGTAATAGGACGGAGAAGAACAATGCAATCCAGGTGTTTGATGAAACACCTGAAAGAAAAATACATTTTTAAGAGAGAGAGAGAGGGGTAGGTGACCCTTTATATATTAAATAATTACATTTTCTTTAATTTTTTTTAAATAACAAAAAACTTCATAAATGGTCCATGTTTTGTGAAATGACGGAAATGTCCTTCTATTAACGGCTAAAAGATGACGACGTCAGTTAAAAGGACCATGTGTTAAAAGTTTTGAAACCACAGAGACCAGGACCATGTGTTAAAAGTTTTGAAACCACAGAGACCATCTGTAAGGTTTTTTGAACTTAAGGACGAAACTTTAGATTTTGTGAAACCACAGGTACCATTTAGGAAGCTTTGTCTTTAATAAATAACATTTTTCAGGTCCAACATTTTAGACAAAATTTCAAAAATGTCCACTATGGTTTCCAAAAAGTATCACTTTCACGATATCTTTAGAAAGCGCTACACTGATGGTCCTTATGGTTTGTAAACGTTACGTGGTTGGTCCTTACGCTGTTAACTCTAACTTTAGACTTGTTAGTTTTTTTAAAATGACTTATTTACCCTTGGATTAAATATGAAATATACAATAAACCTTAAGGACCATTTACTTAATTTATTATTTATTATGTGAAATAAAGAAAAATTAAATAAAACCATAATTTAATTCCTCATATCGTTCAACTTCAACCTCCCACCCCAATACTTTTCCTCCATACTAGCCACTACACACAACATCATTTGACGAGAATGATTTGAAGGCATATGAACATTGTCGGTGCTGATGGGAAGGAAGCGAGGCACAAGAACTGTGACGGTGGTCTCCTACATCCCCATCGATTTTTGTGATGTTGGTGTAACGACCCAAAAATCAAGGGTAAAAATTTCATTTTTAATATAGTCAAAATATAGATATTATTTATTCCAAACATCTAAAACATCGTTAATTAAAAGCATTTATCAGAGTTCATCCCAAAATCATTCAACGCGGAAAACATAGGTGTGTGCGTTGCGATTAATCCGGGCTCTTCTTTTCCAAACGATGATACCTGAAACCAA